TTTTTCGACGCTTTTGTAGCATATAGTTGCGAAAACTCGAAAGCGGCTTACGTTGCGCGCACATCAAAGAGCTAATTAAAATAAAACTTGCAACATTCGGGGGTACTCGAGCTTTGTCGTTGTACAGCGAGGCAATGGTGTACTACTACTCTCTCGATGCTACTTATATAGTAATAATACTGTTATGCTTGAAGTGTACATCGCCCACGTGTAGTAGTAGTAGCAGCATTTCCCTAGCTCTCCTCGTGCATTATATATCCGAAGTGAACACTCGCATCATTCATCCATAATCTCATAGTCCGTCTCTTTTGCTTGGCTTTCATTAGCAGTGCACATCGAGCCATGCAATCGCGTGCTAATTAAGCCTAGCCATGCCCCGCATAGAGTGTGTATATAGTGTACGTGTGTATGTGTATATGTGTGTGAGCGTCAGAGTCGGCCACTTCGGGAGATTCGTTAGCGAAGTTTCCTTCCTGTTGCTTCAAGGCCTGGGCGTACGTGTTCGAGTATATATGCGTGGAATCGTTAACTAATGAGCTGTGAAGAGGTCGAGAAGCACTGATATGTCGCTGAACTGCTCCTACAACTTGTATGCGTATTACGTATACTATTTGGCTTGGCATTCTCGGTAATCAGCGGGTGTACAAGCCCCAGAAATTCTGACACCGTGTAATTAAAATTGCAATCAGACAATCATCGTGAAAATAAATTTTAAAAAATCGTGATCGAACGATAAGTTGCTTCGAAATTCAGTAATGCGAGTAGTACGATCTCGAAGTAGTCGGACGCGCACACCAGCGTCACCGTATCGTTTGTCGCCTACTACACCTAAAATTTATCTTTCTCCCTCTCCACGGCACAGGACGTCCCTTATCGAGCATGTCTCTCGCATCGAGATCTATATCTCAATTTTTGCCACCCCCACCACAGCACCCTTTGCACGTTGTACATAGGCAAATTAAAAGCAGCGCGCGCGCGCGAGCAGCCATAAATAAAGCGTGAAACTAATCATAAAGTCTCGACTTTGCGAGCAGCAGCAAAACCCAAAGTAATATCATTTAACGCGCCCGCGCGTATACGTACGGCGGCGGCAGGCAGCGGTGGCGGCGTAACTTAAAACCGGTGCGGTCGTATGAATGACCAACACTTTATTACGGCATTATATCTCCGGCTTCGGTCTGATAGGTGCGATGTGTGTGTATAGGGCTCCTAAATACAAGTCAGCGCGCCGCTGCAACCCCCATCTCGTTGTGTTCGCGCGTTTCGTGACGTATACGAATATATGTGCGCGGGTATTTATATACGTATATATGGGGTTAGAGAAATGAAAGTGTACAGTCGACTAAAGCAGCATCAGTAGAACGTCTCTCTCTCTGTCTCTCTATATATACGTATAATAGATGACCTCGAGAGTGAGCCGACTTTCCACGAATGATGGCTCCCAAGAGTTAATTACTATAGTCATCGTGCGCCGCGTGTACAGATATGTATATATATGAATTACTAGGGTACGTCGGCGCGTCGAGGATGCTTTGATAAAGCCATTAAGGGCATATATACCTAGCGGGTTTGCTCTCGATGACCTAGCTGAAAGTTACGAGGAGCGCGGCTTCGTCTTGCGTGGGGAGGTCGGGCTTTGCGACGAAGCTGCTGCTGCTGCTGCTGGCTCCTATTGGTATGCATGAGACGCTTTGCCGAGCTCGCTCCGATATGTCTAATATCTATGCCGTTAGCCCGCGTGCGTCTAAGTATGTGGCTGTGTGCGCGGGGCTCTGTGTGTACACGACTTACCCTCTTACATACAGCTGCACGCAGAGAGAGAGAGAGAGAGAGAGAGAGAGAGAGAGAGAGAGAGAGTTTGCGATGCGAAGGAAGCGACGATGCAGCACTGTGCGCAGCTACTACTCTGGCATGGCCTATCGCAAGGAAAACGAGAGACGAAAGCAACTGCGCTAGTGCAGAGTGCTATAGGTATGTGTATCTTGCAATATACGCTGTAGATCTCGCTGCCTTGATACTCGCAGCTCGAATTCGAGAGCGACTGTAACGGGCCACCTTGAATAATTACTTGGAGTACAGCGCGCGAGATTATAACCGAAACTCTTGCCTCGCTACTCTCTATGCAGCAAGTTCCTAGTCATGACAGAAGAGACAACTGCACGTGAACTCGATGAATAACGCGACGACAATTTTTTTCGGATACAATGACGGGTTGAAAAGGGATTTTTCTAACAAAAGTTTTAAATTCAAGTTTCTCATTGCAATTAAATTGAAAGCTTTTTTGAATGTTTTCGTATAATAATATCAACATTTTAATTCGCGTCTCCGTTTGTCTTTTTACGAATATAACAACTATTTCACGTAGCTCTCCGTAAGCCAAAGAAAGCCGGAAACTTTACTTTTTACTTGTAGTGTCTTGGATTTTTGTTTTTAGTATTTTCGACTGTAAACATCGGTTATAAAGGCGTCTTGACGACGCTTTAAATGAAGAAAGCATATCGCAATTAAAAGTAAATCGCTGCGGATACACGAAATAAATAAAGAGAGATGGAAAATTTAGCCTTTTTCGAGAAGACAGATCTTTATCCTTTTCAAGTATTTCGCGAATCTCCATATTATAGCATGGTACATGGAACGCATGTATACGGGATGCGCGTATTTTCTACGTAGGATGTCTCTTTAAATTATCACTCGGCTGGAAAAAAGAACCGACGAACACTGAACCGAAAAAACATGAGAAAGGGGGGAAGTATATAAGAATAAGGTAATGCAGCTTTCGTACGAACGAGAAAGAAAACGCATGAAATATACAACTCGTTATAGTTTCACGAGAGCTCGTCTGTGATGTGTTTCAAACGCGAAAAAATGTGCATACACCCAGGCAGATGTATTTTAAAGGATCGTCAGCGGCGTACTCCGCTGTGTGTTTACAATTTTGACTTTTAGTTGAATATATTGTATTACATCGCGTATCTATTCAAAACATCGAAAAAAATTCAATCTCAAATTCTGTGGCGAAAAAATCGCTGCCAATTTCAAAGCTATCTCGTACTATTGGTATTTTGCTCGCAAAATATTTCCCCGTCAAAAATTTAATCTCTCGCATAAACGATAAATAATCTGTAGAAAATTCTCGACCGTGTTGTAAAAAAAAAGTTATAAAACGTTATACAAGGGCATAAACGCTTCTAATTAAATTTTCCAAGTCGTCAAATGCGCACACAAAAACATACGTTTTACTGCGATGAATATGTATGAAAAAAAAAATCTCATAAGAATTTATCTCTCAGAAACACATACTCGCGCGTGCTCGTGGTATATATTAAGACATTTGTTCGAGGACGACGAATATTGCGTACTTTTTACAACCATCGGTCATTTAAACTCACCAATGAAAAGGACTTTATTGTAGAGCTGATTTTCTTCTCTGCCATTAGCCATGAGTATAACGGACACTTCAAATCGATTTTCGCCACTACTTCACCGGCTCGAAGTGAATTTGTGGCGACACATTAAAATTACATGAAGTTTCACAGAATTGAATGAAACCTTCGCAATGTCCATAATTCAAATGAATGACAAAGTGGTTTTTTAACTTATTTTTTCGTTTTAAAAATGAACGCTTGCTCGAAAAGAATTTAAAAATAAATATGAGATTTTGAACTTAAAATTTTCTTTTTACATTCGTGCGCAATGTTCAAATCTCATAAATTTAGTTCAAACGAATGCACTTGTGCGCTGTGCAGTAGTATTACGGTTTACACAGCAAGGTACACAAAGGAAGTTTTCATTGTTAGAAGATACAAGTTTTCAAAGCGGAAAACCTAGTCGCGGTGCAGATAGATATTTCCTTTCGTAACTTTCTATAATATATCTGGAAATCAAAAGCATGAGAAAATCATTTGAGTGGCTGCGTACATGTTACACAAGAGCACAAAATACTCGTAGCAGAAGGAATGAAAAAAAAAATAAGCTGATATTTTCTTTTCGTCCTGTCACTTACATAAATCAGACGTTAGAAATGAAATTAATTTATTATACAAACGAAAAAAATAAGATTGTGATTATCACACATGTGATTTTCACTGCATTGTAAAGTTTAGTTGAACTGTTTGGTATTTTGCTATGAAAATTTTCGCTACCATATAAACAAATGCTACTTTAACCTTTTCACATTAATATATTTTTTTAAATCAAGATGTACTTCTTACGGTGTTCGGATTACTTGTGCGATATGTATCAGTCATACTCAGACTATGCTCAGGTTGATATCGCTACTGTGGATAAATCCTCGACTACGGCTCGATATAATATGTTCGTATATGCATATCTTCCGCATGCATAATGGGATGACGCGTGAGCTTGCATTTCCTTTGAAAAATTTCGATTGATCCGCGAGGGCTTTGTACGGCGGCTGGGAGAGCCGAAGGAAGGGGGACGGATAAAGCTCCAGAGTCCCCGAGATTCTCTTATCCCGGCGGGCCGCTTTGATTTCCTCCGCACTGACGGATAGCTTTATCGAAAAATGTGTGTGTGTGTGTGTGTGTGTGTGTATGTGTGTGTATAGCTACTCAGCGCAGCTTTGGGTGAACTCTGCGCGATTATAGGGCTCCGTACAAGTGCTACTGTGGCGCGCTAGGACCTGATTATAAGCGAAAAATGCTTATCAGCCGATCGTGCTATATACTAGTTAGCCTCTTTGAACTTTCCACTTTGTATGGAGCGCGCACCTACACACGCCCATTCGTATGGAGAGGTTCTCAAAGGTGTCGCAGGAAAAGTAAGGTTGACTGCTTGGTATAAAACTGTGATCTGCGAAGGTTTTGGATTTGTGTTCATGCCGTATGTTCACTCGATATATTTTCGATAGAAGATAAAAGGCAGGAGAAAGAATGAATTCTTTGATCATTAATAAATTATTTCATTTTTGACAATTCAGAATTAATAAATTCAACAATTGAATAAAAAGTTAATAAAAATATTTAAACTTATGTTTTTAGGTGATATTGGTTCCCCACAGCCACACAGATCCAGGATGGTTGAAAACATTCGAACAATATTTCCACAGTTCAACGCGAAGTATTTTGAACAATATGGTGACGAAGCTGCAACAGTGGCCGAACATGACATTTATATGGAGCGAAGTTTCATTCTTATCATTATGGTGGGAAAGGTATGAATAATGCACCTATAAAAAATATATTTACATCATTGGCCTTCATTTGTATTCTTTTATTTTTACAAAAAATTCATAACAAGGAGTATTTATCTTTTCTTTTCAGTGCTCACCCGACGAAAAAAATGATAGTCAAAAGGTTAATCAAAGAAGGACGATTAGAAATGACAACGGGAGGTTGGGTAATGACCGACGAAGCAACAACACATATTTATGCCATGCTGGATCAGTTGATTGAAGGTAAGATAGATTTTATATTATTGAAAAGAGTTTTAACGAATTAGGATTATTCATTCTACCTTGATTTAGCACTTGTTTGATTCAAATATAGACAATAGAATCAGAAAGGATAAAAATTTACTTCATCGAGCTATTTCTACTAGTCATGTCAAAAAATGTCAACAGAATTTCGAAACCCTTCGAAATGGCATAAATATTAAAACTGCCCTGGTTGACATTTTCAACATTGATAACGATCTCATGCCGGAAAAATTATCGTTTGAAATGTTTTAAAATGCATGATTATTAATTTGCTTGTTTATAGTGATTTTTCTTAAAAAATTATGTTAAAAGTATTGAGCGCATTTTGACAATTTGACTGTACAAAAAACTAAAAAAACTAAATTTGGACCAGTTTTAACCACTTGGAATACGATAATATTACTTTCAGTAACTCCCACTAGATGGCAAGCATCTTTATTTGTAAATCTGAAAGCGGCAAAATAAAATAATTGTATAAAGAAAAACATTATTAATTTAAAACTTCAATTTCAAAAACATTGTTAAGTTAACACTTCAATTTTTCTTTGTTACATTTTTTTTTTATTAACTTAACCCGTTTCGGGCCAAACGGACGAAATTTTAGTTAATTTTTCATTCGCTGTAAACTCTGTGAAAAAATGATGTAAGAAATGTCAGAATAGTCATAACCGACGTAAAATTTTATGAACTTTTCGAATCCGGCGTCAGAATTGTCAAAAAAGTTGATGTGTAAAAGTTATGAACAATAAAAAACACGATTTTTTTGAAAAAAAATTTGATTTGATCCGAATTTTCTAGTCGAAACAGACTTGCTGTATAGGTCTAACACGTTTTTTTTGCGTCCATGGGATGTAGACTTAAAAGCCCAATAGTTACGATATCGAAATTCAACATTTTCTCTATAAAGTTTTTTTCCTAGGCGCTGGTTGACATATAAAAAAATTGACTACGTTCATATACGGTTTTTTTCTACGAAGCGCCATTTTCGTGTCCACCATGTTGAATTTCGATATCGTAACTATTAGACTTTTAAGTCTACACCGCATGGATGCAAAAAAAACGTGTTAGACCTATAGAGCAAGTCTGTATCGACTCGAAAATTCCGATCAAATCAAATTTTTTTTCAAAAAAATCGTGTTTTTTATTGTTTAATTGTTCATAACTTTTACACATCAACTTTTTTGACAATTATGACGCCAGATTCGAAAAGTTCATAAAATTTTACGTCGGTTATGACTATTCTGACATTCCTCACATAATTTTTTCATAGAGTTTACAGCGAGTGAAAAAATAACTAAAAATTCGTCCGTTTGGCCCGAAACGGGTTAATAATAAATAGTCGTGAAAAGAATATGTTCAGTTCTAATGAAACTGTTATGTCCAAGAAACTTGTCCATTGGACACCCATTAAATTTTGAACATTTTTACCAAGGGTGGCTTGATATTAATAATAATGAAATTATTCATGACACATTTTGTGGTGTTATTATACTATTTTAATTAATACCGAATTTGAAAAGCATGCAAGCCTTCGTGATCGCTTATAAGTTCTTATGAATGAAAATGATTTAACAATCATAACATCAATTTGCGATTTGCAATTTGTCATCTGACTTAGTTTGAAAATGATATCATACAAAATTTATGACGGTATTACCGCGCTGTAACTCGCAGCGAAAATGTACCAAATGACTTTTTTATTGCATCCTCAACATGCATTTTAATGCCGAGTAGCTTTTATAAATATTTATTACAAATTCGAAATAAATGTCGCAGTATAATCAGAATCTAATGGTCAATTTTCCATCCGGAATGAAAAAAATACGAAATCAGGCACATTTGTTACGGCAGACGCACGCTTCCCTTTGTAGTTCTACTGTACGGCAGCTAATCATTATACCCGACAAGTGAAAAAAATCGTCTAGCTCTTGCGCACATATGCCGAAAAAGTAGTCCGACTAGTGACGGAAAAATCGAGTGCACAGTCAGTTTTTTTCCGAAAAGAAGTCTCACATTAAGTGCAATTCAAAAATAATGACAGACGAGAGAAAGAGACCGAGTAAACGAGACGGTGAATTACGCAGTCGCTCCAGTTCAGTTATTCATTTGCATGGAAATGGCGAGTAGTAGTATTAGAGGTAGTAGCGGCATATACAGAAACAAAGAGTATTATACACACTGCTGCATTCATTTTTTTCTAAAATACAATTTTCATCTTTTATTTGGTTGGACAAAAATCTCAACGAGTTTCATGATGCGTTTCATAATGTGATAAAGAACTTTTTCAAAAACGGATCCAAATCTCTTTGACTTTTTTTCATCATTTTGACGAACGTACAAGTAAACAAATAATGTACAAGAAAAGAAAAAAAAAATTATTCAAAATGCAGCAGCAGCGAAGTCAATATTGCATTACTCGGCTCTGTTTCTTCTCTCGCGCGTCGACTTTTACGTGCGCGAAATACGTCCCGTTGGAAAAAAAGGAAGAAGTAGCCACATATAAAACGCACGTATTCAGCGTTTCACCCCTTTCGAGAGAGAAGAGATCACGTGCTAAATGTAAATTATACCTGCTGCCGACACGGCTGTCTGCAGCACACCCCCTCTAGATATATATACGCATGAGGCTCCATGATAAACTCATTGTTTCGCGCAGGTGTTTGATGCTCACTTTTTCTCCTTGTTTCTCTTTCGATTTCCAATTCCATATAGACTAGGATTTCTCTCCTGGCTTTGCCGTAGTTCGAAGTAAATATTGCGTGGAAAAATTTTTCTTTCCCAAGCTTCGAGATTAATCTCGAGAGGTATTATTCGGTTGTTTGGCGGTAGTTTTGGTGAGAAGGCTCGAAATAGCACAATCCGTCGAAAGTCCTTAGCGAACAATTATAACATTGCAGTTGTATGCATAATATTATCGCGAGCAGCGAGTATTCACGGCTCATCTTCAACGAAAACAGCGATAGAGATCTAATCGGATTTTGTGCGCGGTAGCAATGCAAATCCATCGATATTGAAGGGTTCGAGACAATAATTCAAAACAGGCTACGATTATACCAGTGATTTGCATTCGAATACGAATTATTCGTTGCATAAATCAACTATAGCTGAAATGGAATATCTTTTATATTTAACTAGTAAACTTTAGAAGAGCTTCACGAACGTTAATTTTAATTCAGTGTTCTGTTGTTTCAATTTTCGACCTAAATGTTGCTATTTTCCTCTTCAATACGAGTCAGAAATTGGTCGACCAATCAGAAACCGTTTTGAAATGCTTTATTTTTAAGCTTATTACATTTCATGAAAAGATAGTTACTGTCGCTAGCACGAGTGAATTTCAAAAATTCATATTTATCAATTTTTATAAATTTGAATTTTTTTAATTTTGTAAAATACTAGATGAATAATATTTCTATGAAAGCGCACAATGAATAATTGAGTCGAATTTCACACATTTTAGTTCGAGTGTGTTTGTCTTGCTATTTGAAAATTCTTGGCATCGCTCGTTTAATTAAATTGCATCTTGGTTCCAACTATCTTTTCCATATCCCGACGAAAACGATTATTCTCCAATGAGAAGAGCTCGAAATTAAAAAGCAAATGCTCGTGCCCTTTATGACGCTCTTCTGCAACTATAACATGCTGCAGAAGTTTCATATAAACGGGCAACTTAATATTTTAACGATCTTGAACCAGTCGTTGCAGTTGTTGCAATGAAAAAAGAAGTGACTTCTCGAGGGAAAATTGTTTTCACCGTCAACGGCACGTCGGTCGCAAGACAACGACTCGTCGACGTCGAGACTCTTGATTAGAAATGTGTCTGGGACGAGTCTTCAAGACAACGAAGACGAAGTCGACGGCAACGATGGCGACGACGACGACGACGACACAAACGAGAAGATGCGCTGTACGTACAGTCAAGCAGTTGATCCTCGACCCACTTTCTGCACCGGCACGGGGAAATTGCCACCCTATATAATTTATTGTTTATTTCCAAAAGAAGAAAAGCTGAGAATCGCGCGAGGAATTGCACTCGTTGCCGAGTGTCCGGCGAAGAAATAACGTCTCTCCCGGGACTTTGAAAAGGAATTGAAGAGAGAAAACAATTCGAGTTTTTCGTGTGGCTTACGATCGAATTGGATTGAAGTTGAACATTTTTATCATGGAGTTGACCAATAATTAAACTAATATAAAATCTTTGTCACGTTCGCAAGTTTGTTTCAAGTTGTTTGTTTAAATCGTGTTTTGGCTTATTGAAAGCAATGAAAAATATTCCATGGGAATTGACTTTGTCGCATCCCAGGAAGTTGGAGTAAATTTTCAACATCGAGATGACAAGGCAGCGAGTAGACAGAAGATAGACCAATGGAAGGGAACATTAGCAGATTTTTCAAAGCTTTCCTCAGTACTAAGCGCGTATATTTAACGATAGGAAGCATAACAAGTCTCTGTGGGAGGCTTGGCAAAGATCGAATTTCCCTCAGTCGCGATTAAGAGACCAGCTCGCTTATATGTATACCTATATAAACGTGGTCATGAAGCTTTCTGTGAGCAAGGATCGAGCTGCTGCTTCGACTCTCGGGCTTAATTGCGCGTAAGATGATGAAGCGCTCATAAGACAATGTGTCAGCCCCGCGTAAGTTAATACCAGCTGAATTCAGCATTCACCAAACTCTCTCTCTCTTACTCTCGGCGAGCTTATCGCTCTCGCTTCGTCGCCCCCCCCCCCCCCCCCCCCCCCCCCCCCCCCCCGCCCGCACACGCTCCGACTCCTCTATATCTGCCGCTACCCGCTCTACCGACTCTATCTGTCTGTCAATGCGAATGTTTGTGTCCGTATACACGTATATTTATACCGTGCCCGCGTTATAGGTATACCTGTGTGTTTGTGTATATGTGCGTGTGTGCGGGTGGCGCTCGGCAAGATCAATATTAATACTGCACGGGCGCGCAGGCATATTTACTGTTAATTATCAGCACAT